CTGAGCAGATTGGGGGAAGTCCCAGGCGAAAGCGCGATGCCTGAGCAGATTGCAAGAAAGTCTCGGACGGGTGCGGGGATCCTGGATGAATTGCGAGGAAAGTTCATTCGGGAGCTGCTGTTGTTGCTGCTGCTGTTGTTGTTGTAGTCCGTGGGCAGACCCCGAGCGAGATCGCTCCGTCTGTCTTCCGTGAGCCAACCATCATAATGCTTCAAAGTGGATATTCAACAACATCTTCCTCTTCCTCTTCCTCCTCCTCCTCCTCCTCTTCCTCCTCCTCCTCTTACCCCTCCTGGTCTCCCGCTGCCATGGCACACGCTTACATTTGAGGCGCGTATCGACCATGGCAGGTCGGGCGGAGGAGGCAATGCGCGCCCACCAACGCGGGGTCGTGACCTCTAAAGGGGAATGATATCTGCAAGCACCCAGGAGGGAAAAGGACCATACGAGGCCCCTCCTCCGTATCATTAGTAGTATTAATAGTATTATCATTCGTCTTCTCAGTCATAGTTTTATGCTTATTGGTAGTACTATTTCTCTTCACCTTACTATGTTGCTTCTTATTAGTATTATTATTATGATTCTTATTATTCGTATTATTGATAGTTTCATTGTTAGTAGTATTCTTATTCGTGTTGTTATTATGATTATTCGTAATAGTATTCATCTTCGTCATGTTAATATTCTTAGTCTGCATAGTAGTAGTAGTAGTATTAGCCTTCGTATTCTTATTAGTAGTATTATGATGTGTCTTATTCGTAGTATTAGCCTTCTTCATAGTATTAGTCTTAGTCTTAGGATCAGTAATATTCCTCTTAGTATGATTAGCATGTTCTTCTCTTTTTAATAGTATTCGCAGTATGATTAATATTATGATTCTGCTTCATGGTAGAATTCGTATAAGTCTTATTATTCTTCGTATTATTATTATTCTAAATAATATTATCATTGGTATTAGTATGGGCATTCGTATTATTAGTTCTCGTCTTGGTATCAGTACTCTTCTTAGTATGAGTATTATTATTATTAGTATTCGTCTGCTTATCTTCTTATTATCAGTATTCTTATTATTACTACTATTATGACTGTTATTAGTAATAATATTAATAATGACATTATTAATATTACTATTATTATTCTTATTCCTCCTCCTCCTCCTCCGCCGCCGCGCCGCCGCCTCCGCCTCCGCCTCCGCCTCCTCCTCCGCCTCCCCGCCTCCGCCTCCTGCCTCCTCCTCCTCCTCCGCCTCCTCCTCCGCCTCCTCCTCCTCCTTCTCCTCCTCCTCTCCTCCTCCTCCTCCTCCTCCTCCTCCTCCTCCGCTCCTCCGCCGCCGCCGCCGCCTCCGCCTCCGCCTCCGCCTCCGCCTCCGCCTCCGCCTCTGCCTCCGCAGCCGCCTCCTCCTCCTCCTCCTCCTCCTCCTCTCCTCCCCTCCTCCTCCTTCTCCTCCTCCCCACCTTCCACCTCCCCTACCCGACGTTTCCTCGACCTCCTCATCGTCCCTCCCTCCCTCCCTCCCTCCCTCCGCTCCCTCCCTCCCCTCCCTCCCCGTGCCTCAGGGCCCCGTTCCCTCCCTGGCCGCACCTCGCTGCAGGCACCTGGACACCGCCGCCGCGCTCGCGCCCGCGCCCTTGCGGAGCTCCACGAAGAGGCCGCAGGTGGCGGCCATGGCCCCTGGCTCTTTTCTCTAGACCGTCGTTCTCGCCTCCCCCCTCCCGCGAGGTTCGAGCTTCGAGGTTCGAGGAGCGAGGTTGTGAGCGTTTGGGACACCTCCCTGCTTCTCCTCCTTCCCTGAGGGGGACAGATGGGGGGTGGGGGCAGGGCAAGGCTAAGGGGGGGAACATCGAGCTGGGATCGGCGAATCAGCACCGGCAGATCGGCGATAGGCCCCCGATGACATAAATAGGGTGATGCGCCTCAAGAGGAGCCCCGACCTCCCCCTCCCAGAATCGGCACCCCCCTGCCCCATTTGGCGAAAACCCGCCCTCACCGCCCGCCCCCTCGAAAGCACCTCCCGCCCTTGCGCGCGGGCAAACCACGACGACGACGACGACGATAGCCGTCGACGAAGACGACGACTGCTGCGACCCTGACGACTGAGGCGACGACGCCGACGCTGGCGACGGCGGCGATGACGACAGCGTTGACGACGACGAATACGACGACGACGACGACGACGACGACGACGACGACGAAGACGAAGACGACGTCGACGTCGACGACGGCGTCGGCGGGCGCGTCGAGCGGGCGGGTGGACCCTGACAGGCGGGGCGGGCTGGCAAGCGAGCGAGCGGGCAGGCAGTGGGCGAGTCCCGCGAGCGGACCCCAGCGGGTCGCGGGGATCGGGATACCAAGTAGGGAATCGAGCTCTGTACACCGACGCTTCTTCCGGCCCTGCATTGGAATTTGCACTGGAGAGCGGGTCCTGGTGTAGACGGGACCCTGGTGTATACATTGTTCGTTGTTTCCGTTGGAAAACGGGGGAAAAGTACACACCACACCACCCCGACGTCGTCCCCAATCTTCAAAAAAGTCCTGGGATTGAGAAACAGCCTGCCACTGGTAATGTATATGTCCCAGTACCCGACCAGGGCACTCCTCAACGTGCGGGTTTGCAGGCAAGCGAGCGGGCAGACCCCGATGGGCGGGTCGAGCGAGCGAATACGTGGCGCGTCGGGCGAGCGGGCTTTGACGGGAGGAGTCGGGCGGGTGGAATATCAAAATGCGCGGGTGGGCTTGCACGAGCGGGCGGACCGCAACGGGCGAATGGGGCAGGCGGAACCGCGGACGGGACCCCCACGGGCGGGGCGGGCGGGCAGGAACAACGAAGCAGGCGGGCGGGCCTGCAGGCAAGCGAGTGGGCGGACCCTGACCGACCCCTCCGTAAACGTCCCGCCCGCCCGACCCAACTGTTAGAGCCCCCGCTAGGACCCACCCGATCTGGTCCCGCCCGCCCGAATGCTTGAAAGCCCGCCCGCCTTCCTCAACGTCCCGCCCGCCTGGGCGGCGGCATGCGGTGCCAACGTCGACGCCAGGAAACAACGACAACGCCGGCGTCGACGACCACGACAACGACGGCACCGTCGACGACGACGACGACGACGACGACGACGACGACGACGACGACGACGGCGGCGGCGGCGACGACGACGACGAAATCGACATCGACGACAACGACGACGCCGACGACACCGACGACGACATCCGAGGACGCTGACACGATGGACCAGAAGAACCTGTTCCGGTAAGAGGAGCCAATATAGTCATGCTGCGCTGCAGCTGAGGAGAGGTACCCGCGTTGCAGTCAATCAAAAGAACAGCCTCCTTGGTCCCGCTCCAACGCTGTACTGTACGGTGCACAGTTGTTCGGCCTGGAGCGCCCACAAACGATGCACCGTACGATGCCTGGATCAAGGATCGGCGTGGCCTCGGGAGACGCCAACGCGGTACGGTGCAAACAGGTTGTCCGCGTAACGTCGTCGGCAAAGGCTGTGACGGCGAATACCCACAACAAATTGTTAGCCAGCATGGACCCCAAAGCTGTCTTGCAATGGAGTCGGTGCATTCTAGGTGGTACAATCAAACTGGTGCAATCTAGGTGGTGCATTCCATGTGGTGCAATGTTGATGGTGCAGAGCAATGTAAAGCAGTGCATAACGATGCAAAGCAATGCACATCGATGCAAGGAAATGCAACACAATCCGACGCAATGCAAAACCATGCAAAGCAATGCAGATCGAAGCAAGGCAATGCAACACAATGCAACGCAATGCAAGGCATTGCAAAGCAATGCCGATGCAAGGCAATGCAACACAATGCAAAGCAATGAAAAGCGGTGCACATTAATTCCAAAGCAATGCAACGCAATGCAACGCAACGAAAAGCAACGCAAAGAAAAGCAATTCAAACAAATCAAAGCAAAGCAATGTAAGGCAGGCTAGGCAATGCAAAGCATGCAAGGCAATGCAAAGCATTGCAAAGCAATGCAAGGCAGATCAACGCAACGCAAAGCAATGCAAAGCAACGCGAATCAATGCAGAGCAATGCAAAGCAACGCAAATCAATGCAAAACAACGCAAATCAATGCAGAGCAATGCAAAGCAAAACGAAGCAATGCAAAGAAATACAGAGCAATGAAAGGCAACGCGGCAAAAGGCGGCGACGAGCCTGTCGAATCGTCGCGTTTCCTCCGCCGTCGTCCGCCGTCGCCCGCCGTCCGCCATCGTCGTCCTCTGTCCGCCTTCGCCCGTCGTCGTCCGCCGACGCCGGACGTCGGCTGCCGTTCGGCGCGACGCCGTCGCGGTCCGCCGCCGCCGCGGGTGCCGACTGGCCTCTGCTGCCCGACGCGCGCCAGACCTCGCCCGCCGCGACCCACGTGGGCGGGCGGCCGTCGCGCCAGGCGACGAGGAACTCGGACGGGTGCTCGCGCTCCTGGGGCGCGGGCCCGGGCGCCTCGATCTCCCCGGGCGTGCCTCGAGCCTCGACCCTCGGGCCCCGAGCACAGCCTCGTCCCCGGTCCTCGACCCTCGGGCCCCTTGACATCGAACCTGGAGCCTCGAGCCTCGGGCCCCGATCCTCGATCCTCGAGCATCGAGCATATCCCCCCGCCCTCCAGCCTCGAGCCACGGGGCCTCTCGAGTCTCGAGCCTCGAGCCCCCGGGCGCGGGCGACAGGCGAGCAGCAGGACACTCGAACCACGCGAGGTCAAGGGTCGCGTGCGCTCAGGCTCCAGCGCGGGCCAGGGAAGCGTTACGAATGATGGCGTTGCTTCATCCTGCATCCGCCACCCATCTCCTCGTACACCATACTCCGACAAGCTTCCCCTCTTCCTCTTTCCGCTCCTGCCTAGCACCTCGAACCATCTACGCATGACTCGTACCAACGCCTATCTAAGACGAGGCTGAGGCGGAGGAGGAACTGCGCGGAGGGCAGACAAGGCTAACCCAACCAACCCAATCAACCAACCCAACAAGCCAACCCGCCAACCACCCAACAAGCCACCCTGGCACCTGACCACCCTGCCGACCTAGACCACCTGCTACGCACACACACACATACAAATACACACATATACAAAAACATACACACGAGCATGCAAACATATTCACACATATATAACAATGAATGCATGCATGCATACATACCTATATGCATACATGCATACATACATGCATGTATGTATACATCCATGCGCAAGGGCATGCAGACATGCATACAACCATATGCACATACACACATACATACATACACACATGCATGCGTGCATGCATGTATGCATGTTTGTGTGTATGTATGAACACGTACACATACGACCTGCGACGCAGTCAAACATACACACATACATACAGACACACAGGCAAACAGACAGACAGACATACAGACGTGCATGCATACATACATACACACATTCATACATACATCCAGACATGCACACATATATATATATATATATGCGTACGCCCGTGTACATAAACACATATCATATACACATGCATGCTGACAGGCATACATGAACACATACATACACAAACACACACCGGTGCATGCGTACAAACGTACGTAAATACAGACATGCAAGCATGCATGTATGCATACATACATATACACACGAGAACATGCAGACACGCACGCAGGCATACATAAACATGCGAACAACGGCATACATGCACACGCACACACACATACATACGGACATACACACGTGCATAAACACATACAAACAACCATACATACACACATACATGCATGCAAGCATATATACAAACATATACTCATGCATGCTCACTTATATGAATACGAGCATGCATACATCAGCACATAGCAATATGCATAATTATCCTGGCGAAGGACCCAACCATATGCAATTGTAAATACCGCAAGTGTGAATATCTTCTTCGGTGGCGCTCCCTATGGAGCCACGAAGCGTGTGAGGGGTGTGCCGAAATGGGTGCGCGGGACGCGTGCGGGCACACCCACTGGGGCCTTCGGTGGAGCTCCCTATGGGGCCACGAAACGTGTGAGGGGTGTGCCGAAATGGGTGTGCGGGACGCATGCGGGCACACCCACTGGGACCTTCGGTGGAGCTCCCTATGGGGCCACGAAGCGTGTGAGGGGTGTGCCGAAATGGGTGTGCGGGACGCATGCGGGCACACCCACTGGGGCCTTCGGTGGAGCTCCCTATGGGGCCACGAGACGTGTGAGGGGTCACGAAACGCGTGAGGGGTGTGCCGAGATGGGTGTGCGGGACGCATGCGGGCACACCCACTGGGGCCTTCGGTGGAGCTCCCTATGGGGCCACGAAACATGTGAAGAGCATGCCGAAATGGGTGTGCGGGACGCATGCGGGCACACCCACTGGGACCTTCCCTATGGGGCCACGAAACGCGTGAGGGGTGTGCCGAAATGGGTATGCGGGACGCATGCGGGCACACCCACTGGGGCCTTCGGTAGAGCTCCATATGGGGCCACGAAACGTGTGAGGGGTGTGCCGAAATGAATGTGCGGGACGCATGCGGGCACACCCAACGGGACCTTCGGTGGAGCTCCCTTTGGGGCCACGAAACGTGTGAGGGGTGTGCCGAATTGGGTGTGCGTGACGCATGCGGGCGGCAGCACTGGGGCCTTCGGCGGAGCTCCCTATGGGGCCACGGCACGTATGAGGGGTGTGCCGAATTAGGTGTGCGTGACGCATACGGGCGGCAGCACTGGGGCCTTCGGCGAAGCTCCCTATGGGGCCACGAAACGTGTGAGGGGTGTGCCGAATTGGGTGTGCGTGACGCGTGCGGGCGGCAGCACTGGGGCCTTCGGCGGAGCTCCCTATGGGGCCACGAAACGTGTGAGGGGTGTGCCGAATTGGGTGTGCGTGACGCATGCGGGCGGCAGCACTGGGGCCTTCGGTGGAGCTCCTATGGGGCCACGAAACGTGTGAGGGGTGTGCCGAATTGGGTGTGCGTGACGCCAACAGCGGGCGGACAGCACGTGGGGCCATTCGGCTGAAGCTCCCTATGGGGCCACACGATACGTGTGAGGGGTGTGGCCGAATTGGGTGTGGGTGACGCATGCGTGCGGCAGCCACTGGGGCCTTCGGTGGAAAAAAAAAAGCTACCCGATGGGATCACGAAAACGTGTGAGGTGTGTGCCGAATTGGGTGGGGTGAGCATGCGGGCGCAGCACGGGCCTTCGGCGAGTCCCATTGGGCCACGAAACGTGTGAGGGGTGTGCAGAATTGGGTGTGGCGCGACGTATGCGGGCGGCAGCACTGGAGCCTTCGGCGGAGCTCCTATGGGGCCACGAAGCGTGTGAGGGGTGTGCCGAAGCGGGTGTGGGTGACGTATGCGGGCGGCAGCACTGGGGCCTTCGGCGGAGCTCCTATGGGGCCACGAAACGTGTGAGGGGTGTGCCGGCTTGTGTGTGGGTGACGCATGCGGGCGGCAAGCACTGGGGCCTTCGGCGGAGCTCCTATGGGGCCACGAAACGTGTGAGAGGTGTGCCGAATTGGGTGTG